ATTAGATTTCAGACTCATTTAGATGTTATACAAAAACTATTATCTCTTTTTTCAAACAGCTTCTTTTCGCTTTGTGACCAGTCTTGCAGTCGACTGGCAGAGGCTGCATGTAGAAAGCAGAATATCTGGATGCATAAGTCATGCACATTAGAGGCAGTTATGTCTGTGGCAGCTGCACCTGCTCATCTTTTTCTTCTTTTTCTTCTTATTGTTCTTATCCTCCTCATCTTTCCCTTTCACATTTGCCTTCTTGCCATTATTCTGCTCCTCTTTCTCCTTTTTGGACACAGATCTCCCAGCTTTTTTTCTGCTGACTCTATCTTCCTCACTTTCCTCATCGCTCTCTTCCTTAGAAGCTTTCTTCTTGGTGGCTTTTGATCCCTTCCTTGCTGCCCTTCGTTTGTCTCCCTCGTCCTCTTCATCACTGTCTTGGATCTTGGTCTTCTTCCTTCGTCCTCGTCTTTGAGGGGTCTCATCCTCATCATCATCTGTCTTGGTCACTTTCCTTCGTCCTCGTCGTTTAGGTGTCTCCTCCTCCTCATCCTCCTCGTCATCCTCGTCTTCACTGATTTTCTTTGCTCTAAGTTGCGACTTAGATCTCCTGTTTCGACTTCTTTTCCTTGCCTCTTCTGTGAGAAATAAATATTCAGATTAGTCAAGGAGACAATATCATAGCAGTTTGCAATCATTTATCTAAAAGCTCATTTTGAAAAAAAGAGTTGTAGAAAAATCTTACTCCTAATCTTCATCTTATTGTTGCATAACCTTACACTGAGTCATTTTATAATTTAGAACTGATTCATTTAAAAGCAATCCATGATTGCATTATAGTTTGTATCTGCACAATGTAACCAAATAAAGCATTAATGACCTAACGTTTTCTAATTAGTTAGAAAAATTCGAACAAATAAAAGCAAACAAAATCAAAAAATAAAAAATAAATCGAAATGAGGACATAATAGCTTATCATTTGTTACTAACTACATGTTTTCCTTGCATTGAAGTAGAAAAGAAGAATAATACAAGATATGTCCCTCTTCATCATAAATTATCTTGAATTACTCACCTTCACTGTCACTCTCAGGCTCAGCATCCACATCAATCCCAACTATAAAAGTAATCCAAAACAGACCAAGATTGATTAAAATACAATTCACTTGTGGGGTTAAATTTAAGGAGTTTTTAAAGTAAAAAAATATGTATCTTTTTTGACTCTATTGGCAGACAACCCTCACCATTTTCAACATCAACTATTTCATGGTTTCTCCTTTTTGGAGGCATTTTTCCCAGGCTGTTTCCAGTCGTTCCTTTCTTTTTCTCCTCCTGTTAATCCTTACATCCAAAGTTGACTTCTCTCCATTTATGAGCCAAAGTGTACAGCTGATTCACTGTCAGATTACAGGGTGTTAAACTGCACACGCTAACGGGAACAGGTGTGCTACTGTTAGAGCCATTTCGGTTCTGGGCTCCTTGGTGACCACTGGAGGCTCTAAGCCTATTGGACGATGAAAGGAAGACGGATGAGGAAGGAGAGTCTTTCAGACAATGGACCTGTCAATCAAAATGTTAGTGGATACTACTCCACAGACACAAGGGACAATATACATTTAATAATTCATTATGTTTGTTATTACCCAGCCAGATATTTGCCCAAACTTCAGTGTATGAAGACTTTTTCTCTATTATCCCTTATTCTGGTCATATACAACTTCCTCATATTGAACCTGCTTTAGCACTTGGCACTCACGCTCATTGTCATTTAACTAACACCCAGAAAGATGACACCTAGGAGAAAAAAAGTCTAGTACACATTAAAGTTGGATGGAATTTGACGTAATCCTGATAGAGGAGGAAAACAACCTGCTATACAAGTAAATGCTGTACAGAGTGTTCACCTGGAAGGTGTCAGCTGAACAGACAGGTGGAGTTTTACTCGTGTGAGACAGTGACTTCATTACAGAGCTGCTGTTCTTGGTTTGTCAAATCTACTTTAAAGGAGCCTAATCACATACTATGACTTAACAGATTTCTACACCAGTAGCTCACTCTAGTAGCATGTAAATACTTTCGATATGAGAAAGAGGTGTGTTGGGTTGGAAATCTTCTGTTTGGGTCTGTCTTTGTATTCGTCTTTCTTGTGTTCAAATTCTGTATTGTAGTTATGAGGGGCTGGAACTTGGATAAGCAGTGCTTTTTCCATCCCTTTTTCAGCTTCCAAGGAGGTATACAGTAAGGATTTGGTTCATTTATCTGTTTGGTTTTTATGAATGCAAGGTTTTTCACCAGCCTTTTTCTTTATTTCATGGGAGTTTAAAACAAATATATAAATAAAGAATGAATAAAAAGATTACAAAGGCTTTCCAATTAGATTATGACACACTGTTAGGTAACCATATTCTACTTGTTTGATTTACACTTTTCTTTTGCTATGTTTTTTAGTAAACTTTGGTATATACCTCAACAAGATCCACAAGACTGAAGGTGATATACTGGGCATGCAAGAGTTAACAAGTAGCTAATAGAGGCAAGCAAATTAGCATTTCCCCTGTGTTGGTGTATAAAAAAGAGAAAAAGCTTATAATAAAGTGTGAAAAACTGCAATAAAATGTATGAAAGAGGGATACGATACAGCTAGCACTCAGAGTACAATCGTGTGGTATTTATTGAAGTGGGAACTAAAGCCTTGAAAGTTGCTAAGTTAATGGATGTGTTATTAAGTATTGCCAGCAGGTGGCGACGGCATATATCAATGTTTACATCTAAGACAAAGTAAACAGTGTAAGTTGATTTATTTTAACATGACCACATGGTGTTTTTTTCAAATGGTGAGAAGGCCCCTTTAAATCAGTGCCAATCAATGTATCTCTGTGGTGACACAGACACTTGTATATGTATTGATGCTTTCAAGCCCTACCTTTTCTAAATTTTGTCTCGTTACAACAAACTTTAATCTGTTTTACTGGGATTTTAAGTGATGGACCAATACAAAGCAGTTGGTAATGACTAGCAGCTTTGCAGGTCCTGAGAATGAAAATCTCAACCATTATCCCTTTAACCTGATTGTGGTCAATCTCAGTCAGCTTGAATGAAGACCATCTATAAACAGTACAATGCCTGCATCACATCTATTATAAAGAATGCATTAGTACCGCTTAGAGGTGGCAAGGAGTGTGGACTGAAAAAGATCTTAAATGAATAGTGGAGTTTTTTGCAAATTTTTTGAAAAGACCCACCCTGTCCACTTAAAAATAAAAAACTGCACATGCACAACTCTATACACACTTCCGAGAGGGAAAGCCTATTGAACGCATGCAGGAGCCCATTTCTCCTCATGCACACTCTGTTTAAAAGTTGTTAACATCGCTCATACAAGCTTACTTTCCAAAAGAAGATAATCAATTTTCCACTATGTCAGACTCACCACTGGTAAGTGAAAATGAACAAGCACGTAGGATGGCCTTGCATATCAGCAGAATGATTGACAATTAGGGGAACCACTTATTTTTTGATGATCCACCCGGAAGAAGGACACCTTAAACACAATGATAACATTAGGAGTGGGTGATATGTGCCTATCTATTGTACATCACAGCTCACATTGTAGAAAATGCAACCTGGACCAGGAAATGTTGTATTTAAACAGTATTTTGAAATGGAGAAGAAAAAAAGCAGCAGCTAGCTGCTATACAGCTACCAGATATGACTAAAGGATTGAAAGGTTTGACCTGTAAGATGGGAAGAAGCAACCAGAAACAGTCTAAGCCCTCAAACTTAAAGCTGGCTATAATTTAATCTGTAAAATCAGTGCTTGTACAACCTCCACTCTCTAATTTACTGTGGTAAACTAGAGATGATTAAAGGAAACCCAGGCATCCAATAAGCTGCAATCCATTACGGTTTGGTTTCTTGCCACAGCCTGAACAAAGACTGGCAATGAACCAAAACCTAAGGAGGAGGGCAATACAGGTTACATCTGAGGGTTGATGTTCCTCTTCTTCTTCTTCTGTAACATTTAGACTGAGTATGCAGCACACAGACAATGCTAATTAATACTAAAATGTCTCCTCTAACCTTATTAGGGGATGTGACTGACAGTGTGTGGCTCCTCTTTCCTGTCCAGTCTGTCAGTCAGTGGATCTCTAATAAAAACAGTATTAATTATTGATGCTTACTTGCAATGGATTTATTCAAAGCAACAGTGTAGAAGAATTGTATGTTTAATGATTGTCTTACCTGATTGAGAGCCAAAACCTTTACCTCAGTAGAAAACCGGCCACAACCTGACTCTTAGTTTTCAGAAAACAATGCACAAGCTCAGTTTATGTACTTTAATGTATGCAAGTAAAGCTGAGTTAACGGCACATTGTCCCTTTAGATCTAGATAATAGGTTGACTGACAGGATAACTGTTAGATCTTTGTAAATACACATTTTAATAACTACACACTTCACGATACTATTTAAGGACTTCCCTGAACTGTAACAAGAAAGAGTCCACAAAGTGTGCCAAGCAATATTTTTCAGAAAAGGAGGTTTAATCTGTTGATCAGCCCAGATGAGTGAGGGATCTATTTAAGCATTCCTGGCGGAGTTAACTGGCCTCCGTGTCTAATGACCTGTAACAGCTCCCCTCAGTCTAAGAGCCCAAGCAGGCAAAATGTATAAAGAGATGATTTAATGAGAGAATTTAAGCAATGCAAAACAGTGATAAATAAATAGGCTATTTTATTTGTTTGAAACCGACTAATAAATACACAGCTGGAATTTATCATGAATGTTTAACATCTTAAGAAAACTTTGTGTAAAAATCCAAGTAGAGAATAAATTAAAGCTGGAAAAGCTGCAAAAAAAAGCAAAAAACTGAAATTTCTGAAATTTAGATGGATAAATTTATAATTTTACAGTTTCTTAAATTGATGTTAAGTTGGCTGTGGATTTAGATACACAATGTAATATTATTTAAAATAAACCCTTTAATTGAAAAAAATCCATTTAGGTCAAGTCATGGTGATTTAAAAAACTTAGTATTCTTTAGTGTTTGCAGTTTAAAATGTAAACTAATTCTAAGACAGATTGTAACACCAACTGCTTTAAAAGTGCTTTCATGGCGACAGGTTGTGTCTTTGTTTTCTTAGTGTCTCTGCATACTGGGTACCCTGTACATCCTACTGGGCTCATTTTGCTGATGGTAACCAGGGAGATATCTTGGGTTTCCATGGTTGCCATTATGATAAGTCCTGGGACCAGGTCCTCTAACTGGGAGGTGTGGTTCTCTGTCGTCAGCACGAGCAGAAGGGTTGCATCCATGATGCATCTTCCGACTTCTGTTGTGGTTTTCTTAATCGTTTGCTATGGGTGAAAGAAAAGGTTTATTTTTAAACCTCTGCAAATAATTTAGCCTCCAGTTTATTTAATTTAAATGGCTTTTAAATTTTCATGGTGTTTATACGAATCAGAGCATTGAAAACAGTGTCATCACTCACAGTGCATGCCATTATTCTGCAGTTTAAATAGGCCCTACGTGTAGTGTTCCCTTTTCAACCAATAATTACATTCAGAGGTTTTTGATCATTTATTGTGTTGCATATTTTTGCAAAATCCCTTCGTAACAATTAATACTCTGTGTTTATTCAAAGACTGTTAAGACTCCAGTTATGTTACAAACTGCTGAGTCTAACTTCACATAACTCCACAGCATTAGAATCAAAATCCCTTAATTGGAATTTGTTCCCTGCATTTTGACCCATCGCCTTGAGGAGCAGTGGGCTGCCATTATGGGGCGCCCAGGGAGCAAACAGTCATTAAGGGTGTTGCTCAGGAACCCAGGGTGGAGGCTGTAGGGATTGGTACTTGCAACCTTTTCAGAGCACAAGCTCACTGCTCTAACCCACTAGACCAACACTCCCCCATATTTAAGATATTAACCCTATAATGAGTTACTAATACATAACGCTATATTCTTTAAAAGTGACCTCTGTAATGATTTTCTGTATTATATTAATTAAAAGACACCATTTTTATTATTTCTATAGTCCAGCATTTCTTTCATTTCTGTCCAGTTGCTCAGTCTGCTTTGGTTTTCTCACCCTCTTGTCTTTGAACTGAAGCATTGTTGTTCCTTTGCGGCTCCATAGCCTCAGATGCTGATTTTTTGGCCTCCTCCAGATCCATTTGAGCCTTCAGTGCAGCTTGTTTGTTCTTTTTCTTGTTTTCTTCATTTTGCTTTAGAAAAGGTGTTTAATTAATACAGATCATAAATGTTTAAGCTGCTCATTCTGCTGTTTTTTCAGTATATAGGTAAAACATGTAAAGCTATAATTAGAGGATTCATTGAGTCTGAAACCTCACTCTGCTGACCTCTACTGGTGTGATTGCTATTATGCACTCACTACGATTACTACAGCAAAATGTGCTTAAAAATCTGTATCTCCTCTACATTGCTAGTGAAAAAAGCCATTAAATATTTAAGCAATTTAAACATTGATATTGTAAAAGTAGGTAGAACTAGGTAGACATTATTTGTGAACAAAATGTCGTATTTCAGTATAATGTCTTATCAAAGCATTATCTATACACATTCAGAACAAAGCAAAGCTATAAAATAAGGAAAATAACATTATTTAATTGCTGGGTTACCATCTGTAGCTTTTTCTTCAGTTCTATGTTTGCTTCTTTGTAGCTTTTGGACGTAGACTGTAGGTAATAAATGGCCAATCTAAAGAATATAACAGAAACAGATCATTATTATCATCAAAGCTTTTATACAAGTATAAAAATATTATACTATATTTATTTGTAGTTTTGTCTGATTATTCTATTAAATCAAGTGGTTTAATTGAATGATTATTTTTTGGGGTGGATTAAGCAACAAACAGTAGCAAAACATTTTAGAAACAAAAATAGGTGAACGAAATTATATGGGATTTTTGTCTTTTTCAGGCAGGAAAGAGGTGGAGAAAACATATCAGAAAAGTTAAAAAACAATCCACTGAACACTGTTTCTAAGTTTGAAGACATTTAGCTTCCCATCTACGAAGCTTTTTCAAATAAAATTGTCAGAAATAGTGTTGAGTTTGAGGCTTTATAGAGTGGACCAAAAACAAAGCCTTGTTTTGGCTTAGAAAACATGCAAATTGAACCGGACAAACGGCGCCTTAAGAATGCATAGTCGTTTCGGGTTCTTTGCTAGCCTGTAATACCTGATACTGGTCTATGTGTCTGAAAGGGGGGTTACGGAGAATTGTTGGCCTGGTGATAGGTTATACTCACCTGTATGGGTTGGGGATGGCGATGGCTGGTTGAAACAAGGCTTTGTTTTGGTCAACTCTATAAAGCCTTGAACTCAATGTTTATTCTGACATTTTTAATTGAAAAAGCTTCCTGGATGGGAAGCGAAACATTTTCAAACTTGGAAACAAAGTCCAGTGGATTGTTTTTTTTTTTTCTTTTTTAGAATGACTATGAACTGGAGGACTGAGAATCTTCACTGTATACTTTCTGAAATCATCAGTGCAGTCCAGGCAAAGTTCAATAGAATAGAATAGAATAGAATAGAATAGAATAGAATAGAATAGAATAGCACCAAGACCTGCTCGATGAGTCATCATCAATACGCTCTTGGAGCTGTTTATATAGGCCGGCTACTCCAAGGTTTTAACACCGTCCATGTTTTCTTAATTTGTGAATATTTGCTCTAGCAGTATTTTGTTAAAATACCAAAACCCTTTCCAAACAAATAGGCAGCAATTTTTTTTTCACTTTAGTATTAATATTTGCCACTTTTGGAGATGTTTTAGCCCATTTTGTGTTGTCGGACAGCTTTAATTATTTCAATTTAATTGTTAGTTGATTCTAATTGTGAAATAGCAATCAGTTATTCGGTGTCAGCTTTCCAAAAAAATTAGGTTAGTCAAAGTGAAATCATGATTGCTGTTGCAACATTCAGTTGTTATGGTTTGGATTTTGTTGTTGTTGATAGAAGTATCTGATGGTCCTTAACATTTAAGTAAAAAAAAAAAAAAGAAAAAAACTTTTCACAGCAGTTTGTGTATATTTGACCCTGTATTGATCATTTTGAACAAAACAGAACATTCATGGAATATGCTGGTAACTCACATCATGAGCAATATAAAGGGTAGCACCAGTCCAGGGTTAGAGGCATAGCTGAACACTTTACTAAACCAGGCTGGGAAGTCAGACTCCAACGTCTCCTGGATCACATCAAACATCCTGTTCTTGCCACTGTAAAGAGAGGATGGCATCTCTGATTGAAACAGAAAGGAATTTCACACAACACACTGCAGACCTCTCAATCCTGCATCAATACCTGAAGGGTCCGCAGTCAAAAGAAGGAGGGATGGTTACAATTGTGTAAATGGCCGGCAGAGTCGACAGGAAGAGGATGACCAACAACATGGCCATGTAGAAGTTGTTGGAGCCTGAGGCTTTGAAGACCCTCTCCTGTGGAACGTTGCAGCACATCACAGCCCAGCACTGCAGGTACATGGACACATGGAGCCTCAGCAGGTTTAGAGCAGGTAGGCAGGGGGCATAGAAAGCTCCCATCCTGCAGGAAGACACACAACACTTTCTCATCATTTTTGGTGTCATTCAGATATTTCTCAAAGTTTCACTCCCATTCAACACATGAACAACCAATCAGAAATCTTCATCTTACCATATCATTCCTTGGTTGAAGATGAGGCCCAGGACATTTCCACTGACATCAAACTCAGAGTATGAAGGCTTTTATAGAAGTCACAAAGAACACAGATGGACCTTAAAGACTTTTTTATCTCACCTCATGACAAAAACCTTTTTGTAAAGTACAGTTTGTGGGAAAGATGACTCACAAATCCAGCTTCCAGGTCCCAACACCAGCAGTGGTTAAGAAAACGGACAAGCACAGCTCTCAGAAAGTCTCCAATCAGCAACGTAATATATGTAGTCATCGTGTCAGATATAATGAGTCGAACGAACTCCTGCTGGATAAAGAAAATAAATGTCATAAATATAATAATAATAATAAAGAAATACTTATTTACTAATAAATAATAAGAAATACATGTAAGAGATTAAAATGAGGAGCAAAAGATAAGCATTTCTTTTAGTCTGCCAAACATGCTTTTTGGTTGCGCTTTAGGGGTTAAAAAATAGCTTTAACCAGGCTATTGCTTTTTACACATTTGTAATGTAAATTTTTTGTTGTTCATTTCATGAACAACAAAACCTTCTATGCTTTGTGTTTTCCTTCACAAAGCATAGAAAATATTGGAATATCTTTAACAGAACTCATTCATCAAGGCACTTCAACAACACCTCAGAAAGCTAAGAGAAATCATGCATATAACTGTATCCATATATCCATGCAACACAGTTTACCCCTCGCTTCTTGAATTACCTTACTGTGATAAATCCTGTCAAATTTTTATATGGTCAATGCCACACTGACCCCTTGATTGGTTGTGAAAAAACCTTATTGTGAACATGACACTATTGTACTGCAGTGTATGAGGGCGAAGAGGAAAACAAAGAGGACCAATGACGGACTGAATAGATATTTATGTAGTTGGCCTTTTGATGTGTGTCCTTAGTGTAACCCGAGTGGGCAGCACACAGGTCATTACGGTCAAATGCAGTGAAGGGGCACAAAAGAGTCAAACAATGGCCTGATGAAGTAGAGTGAGGAAGGCACCCAAGGACAGGAGAGAGTATACCAGCTCCAGACAGGAAATGGGATGAGATGGGAGGCACAAATTTAAAGTGGCATGAAAGAAGTAGTCACACCATTGAACTTTTCCATATTTTTTCAAGTTACAACCACAAAACTAATTCTAATTTAATACCCCAACATGAATTATCATATCTTTGCAAAAGGGAGAAAAATCATTCACGATTTTCATTAAAAACAAATGTATTTCATTTTCTTTTCTCTGATACCCCCAAATTAATCCACTGGGAAAGTTGGACCAATGTCCCCTAATTAGGAAGCAGAGTCTACAGAGTCTTTGTGATCTAATATGTGTATAAATTCAGCCATTCTTTGAAGGCCTTTGTTAGAGACCTTTGGTGAACAAACACCACAAAGACCAAGGAACATAGATCAGGAAGCAGCTTGTGAAGGAAAGTTCAGTTTAGGACTTGGTTACAAATGAATATCCCAAACTTTTAAGGTCTCATTGAGAAATCAAAGAAGGATCCAAAAGGACTTTGATAGCTCTGGTAGAGCTGCAGTGATTTGCTCCAGAGGTGGGAGAACATGTACATACATCATGCTTTCCATACACCTGGCCTTCATGATGTTATTGACCGAGAAGGGCAATTTCAACATCAATGTATAAGAAACTCCCTTTAAAATCAAAATGTAACTTCTAGCCTGAATGCAAAATTATTACATTTGGTTTATTTTTATAGCATCATTTCACAACACGTCATATTCAGGCCCTTTGAAAAGACGATTCAACCAGATCATTCAGTCAAATTGGTTCAAAAGTTTCTATCTAAGGAAATCCAACCTGATTGCATTGACTCATTCAGCTATCCCTCCCACCAAGCATGAATGCAGCAAGAGTAGAAAGGAAAAACTCAGTGTGAGCGACCATCTGCCGAGGCTGACTGGGGTTCAAAGAGATAGAAGCAGACATACAACAACAAGCAGAGATATAAAAGTTAACTGTTAACCAGCTCCACAGGTGGCCCTCTACAGGAAAGACACATCCGAGCTCCAAGCCAGTAAATGAAATAGGACTACACTAAAAATACACGCTCAATTCCAACTTCTCTAAACAATGGTGTTAATGGCAGTAGCCCAGGTGATTCATTTCCAGGGTTGTGTAAGAGCCAAGCGGACCAGACCAGATGAAGCCCCTATGACGGGAAGAGTACAGAGAATATAAAGGTATTAGTGGAGCCTAAAAAATACAGCAGAATATGAAAATAGTAAGAGAATGAAGCAGAATAACGAAAAGTAGTCCCCATGTCTTCCAGCAGTCTAAGCCCATAGCAGCAACTATATAATAGAGTTTGAGGTGAGAAACTAACCCTTAACACACAAACCCTTTGGACAGATATGTTGTGGCAGCATCATGCTGGAGGATGCTTATCTTTAGTAGGGTGAAGCAAGCTGATAAGGGTTGGTAAGAAGATTGATGGGGCTCAATACAGATCAATCCTGGAAGGAAACATTAAGGGGCTAGAGCAGACTTGAAGCGGAGGAAGAGGTTCAGCTCCCAGCAGGACAACCCTAAACATAAAGCCAAAGCTGAAATTCATATGAATAGGTCAAAGCATGAATATAATTTAGAATGAATCAATGTGTAAAATGTATGTTCACACAGAAGCTTTCCTTAAACTTAGATGTTGCAAGGAATAAAGGAGACAAATTTTAGTGTCAGGTCATGCAAAACTGGTAGAGATATACCACAAAAGACTTACGACTGTAATGGCAACGAAATGTTTGTTGACAATACTAAATGAAGGTGATGAATGCAAAAAGAGAGCTTTTATGAAGGGCTTGATTTCTCAGTCATGTATTATGTTAATTTGTTGCATGAGATACAATTTACATACTCTGATATTTTCAGTTATAATGTAACAGAATGTGAAAAAGGGCCAGGGGTCTAAATAATATAAGACTGCATTTGATGAATGTGCATGTGATTAATATTTTACTGCTTTCAAAGCAATCAGAATTTGGAGTCAATAATCCTGTTTCTTTACTTTAATCCTAAACACCCAAGGATATACAGGTGCTGGTCATAAAATTAGAATATCATGAAAAAGTAGATTGATTTCAGTAATTCCATTTAAAAAGTGAAACTTGTATATTATATTCATACATTACATACAAACTCATATATTTCAGATGTTTATTTTGTTTAATTTTGATGATTACAAATGACAACAAATTAAAATCTCAAATTCATCATATCAGAAAATTAGAATATTACTGAAGACCAATAAAAACAAAGGATTTATAGAAATGTTGGCCAACTGAAAAGTATGAACATGAAAAGTATGAGCATGTACAGCACTCAGTATTTAGTTGGGCCTCCTTTGGCCTGTATTACTGCAGCAATGCGGCGTGGCATGGAGTCGATCAGTCTGTGGCACTGCTCAGGTGTTATGATAGCCCAGGTTGCTCTAATAGTGGCTTTTAGCTCTTCTGAATTGTTGGGTCTGGTGTATTGCATCTTCTTCTTCACAATACCCCATAGATTTTCTATGGGGTTAAGGTCAGGAGAGTTTGCTGGCCAATTAAGAACAGGGATACCATGGTCCTTCAACCAGGTACTGGTAGCTTTGGCACTGTGTGCAGGTGCCAAGTCCTGTTGGAAAATGAAATCTGCATCTCCAAAAAGTTGGTCAGCTGCAGGAAGCATGAAGTGCTCTAAAACTTCCTGGTATGTGGCTGCGTTGACCCTGGACCTCAGAAAACACAATGGACCAACACCAGCAGATGACATGGCACCCCAAACCATCACTGACTGTGGAAACTTTACACTGGACTTCAAGCAACGTGGATGAAGTGCCTCTCTTCTTTTCCTCCAGACTCTGGGACCTTGATTTCCAAAGGAAATGCAAAATTTACTTTCATCAGAGAACATGACTTTGGACCACTCACCAGCAGTCCAGTCCTGTTTCTCTTTAGCCCAGGCAAGACGCTTCTGACGCTGTCTGTGATTCAAGAGTGGCTTGACACAAGGAATGCGACAGCAGAAACCCATGTCTTTCATACGTCTGTGTGTGGTGGTTCTTGAAGCACTCACTCCAGCTGCAGTCCACTCTTTGTGAATCTCCCCCACATTTTTGAATGGGTTTTGTTTCACAATCCTCTCCAGGGTGCGGTTATCTCTCTTGCTTGTACACTTTTTTCGACCACATCTTTTCCTTCCCTTCGCCTCTCTATTAATGTGCTTGGACACTGAGCTCTGTGAACAGCCAGCCTCTTTAGCGATGACCTTTTGTGTCTTGCCCTCCTTGTGCAAGGTGTCGATGGTCGTCTTTTGGACAACTGTCAAGTCAGCAGTCTTCCCCATGATTGTGTAGCCTATAGAACTAGACTGAAAGACCATTTAAAGGCTTTTGCAGGTGGTTTGAGTTAATTAGCTGATTAGAGTGTGGCACCAGGGGCCATCAATTTTGAACCTTTTCACAATATTCTAATTTTCTGATATGATGAATTTGAGATTTTCATTTGTTGTCATTTGTAATCATCAAAATTAAACAAAATAAACATCTGAAATATATGAGTTTGTATGTAATGTATGAATATAATATACAAGTTTCACTTTTTAAATGGAATTACTGAAATCAATCTACTTTTTCATGATATTCTAATTTTATGACCAGCACCTGTACGAGTCTGTACAAAACTAGATTTTGATCAGGTGACATTTAAGAGGTTAACTTCAAGAGGTTAGAAATCAAAGCTAATTAACCTCTAGTTCAATTAATCTTGAGTTGCACTATTTTATAAAAACAGAGCAGCTATGTTTAACCTGTAATGAAAACATGAAGAAATTCTTACTGTCATTCTCTGAGGTGATCAGGTTTTCTCCAGGCATCTTTATCTCATGGTCCTGAATCTTCTAGAAAAGCTGACAGCAACATCAATAGGTGATGTGAGCTGCCGTTGAATGTAGCGTCAGGTTTTAATGCTTCCTCACCATTGCTGCATATTCGTCATCCTGAGAGTGGTACCCTGTTTAAATTCATGCACTACCTTGGGAATGAAGGGGGAGGATGCATCTCCAGGTATATGTCTTTGTACATGTGCACTGAGGGTTTGCCACATGATGAGTAACTTGCATGAGAAGTTTACTTTTTCCTCACCACCCATCGACCCGAAGCAGGGACAATGATGAGCTGGAAACCCTAGAGCCAAGCAATTTCACTGACAATCAATTATTCAAATCTGTTATGACTGCCTTTTATGCTGCTGTGTGTGGATTTGAATGATTATGTACCGTATGTGTATGTGTGTGTGAG